ATTTCACAACAATCCAAACGCACACTTTGTCAATAATGGAATGAAACTTGAAATTTGGTTGCTGGAACTTGGAACAACTTCCGGTCTAAGTTGTCAAATTAAGGCACAATTATTTCATTTTATTTTTGGATAATAAGAGTGTCTTTAAATTAGTTTTTGTGCAACTCAAAATTAATTTTTCTTTAATTAATCTTAAAAGTATACCTCTATGTCAACTTAATACATTTAAAAATTTTAATTTTCTTAAGTATTCACTCTAAGATTTGAATCCTAAATCTAGCATAAAATACAATACTTATTTATCATTAAAATCAAATTATTGAGGTTAATAAAATTGCCTTTATCTTCCGTGAATCATTCAACGGCCTTAGGTCGGCTGGCAAACACTTGAGCTGCCCTCAATTATGCTGGGATTAACTTCTGCTGGTGGCTGTGGAAAATGAGCAGACCTTTATTCAACACCAATAGGCTGGCTGGCGAACATCTAACATATCGTTAATTATGGGATAGAAACAGGGGACGGTAGCAACGGTGCAAGAATTGGCTTCCCTGTATACATGACGGTACGGCACAACAAATCGTTAGCTACCTAACAAGGTCCAGTAGCCACAAGCAAGCTAGCTAAGGGAATGAGAAGCCTCATCATCTTGCTGTTCGAGTTTCTAGAAGGCTAATAATAGCAAGTCCATTTCCACACTCACTTTCCGGTTGCCTTTGTCCTAGGCCATCTGAAATCCAGCTGCCAAATTTTATTGACATGCATTAGGAGTTAATTGTTTTGGGTTTTTTTTTTTTTTCTTTTTTTTCTTTTTGAGCCATGGGAATTAGAGGATCGAGAAATAATTACAACAATGCTATAGTTACAACTTGAACCACTTATAAAGAAGCCAAGGTTATTAGTGCATTTCCATTGTGGCTAATGCCGCAAGTGGATTGTTTAATGGGTGTGTAATGGCATAGGATAAAAAAATTAATTATTAATTAATAATTATTAATTTTCTTTTAAAAGATATGAAATTTTAAATAAAAAAAAAGTTTTGATTTTAATTTCAAAATAAATGAATAAGAAATTAACACACAACATTTGTAATTAAAATAAAAATTAATTTTAAAAAAAATTAAAAATAACAATAATTACATAATAATTATTTTTTATCATGTGCTTTAAAAGTATGAAATAGATAAATTCTTATTTAATATCATAGAGTTTATATCTGTAACCCTAATCTTAAATTGCACTCTACTTGATTTTTCGATTATATTTTGAAAATGTACAAACTCCTAACTATTAATAAGAATTCGACCAAATTAATATCTATTAATTTAAAAATCTTAGTTTAAGGTTAAAATAAAAATGGCTTAATTCAAAAAATCATCTACTAACTTTCAGTTTAATTTCATTTTAGTCTAGAAAGTTTGTTTCGTTTCTAAATGATCTAGAAACTTTAAAGAATATTTCCAATTAGTCTACCGTATAAAGATGACGATTAGATTGCCGTTAGATTTGAGGAAAGAGCAGTTCTTTGAGTTTTAAAAAAGTGACACTTAAATCCTAATAAAATATGATGAATAAAAAAATAGTTTATAGAGATAGATTGTAATTCAAACAGAGAAATTCAGTAAGTTTAGAATAATAAATTTCACAGGTAAGTCTGTTTTATAAGATAGACTCTGTACAATTTGTCTTATAGAATTATTTAACTGTTCATGAAAAAATAATATAAAAATAGAATTAAGGGTATTTAAATAATTTTACAGGGTGGACTGAATGCAATCTGTTTTGTAAAATAATTTTCTGAAAAACACATTTAGCAAAATAAGAATAAAAACTATTTTTACTATGAATATAAATTTAAGGACTAAAAGATTAAAAGAAACATAGTTATAGTACTAAATTTAAAAAGATTTTCGTTAAGATTTCTATTAACTTTAATTGATTAGATGAAATTGAAATAAATGTGAGAGATAATAAATAGAATTGAAACAGTTCAAAGATAATAAATGAAACTGAAATTAAATTGAAAGTTAATAAATGATTTTTTGAATTTAGCCAAATAAAAATTCAAACCCTCGTATCATTAAGCAACTAACTTTTTTAATATCCTAGAACAAAAATAGAACAAACTTCTAAACTAGTTAATGACCCGTTTTTAAACATTTAATAATAAGGGGAACAATCATTTCATATTCTAATTAAAATTTTTTTTTATTTGTCTCAAAATTCAAATGAAAAAATTTTTAATTTAAAAATTTAAGTCCTTAATAGTTTTTTTTGTTTATCTTAAGATGAATAATAAAAAATGATTTTTAAATTTCATTTTACCTAATTAATTAATTAAAATATTTATATTTGAATCTTAAATAAAGATACAACCTTGATAAGAACATTCAAGAGTTATGACGTTTGTGGATTAGGTTATCCTCGTTAATGGCCAAAGGTCAATACCTCTGTAAATGTAATACTAATAAATTATGTTGTTCAACGGGCTTTGGCAGAGTTTTCAACTTATCATTTCAAGCCATGACTCACGAGGCGATGACTGTAATTTTGTAACTTACCTCAAATTTCCAACGTTTTAATTTACCGAATAAAAATCAAATTATTTGACTGTTACATATTCCTCATTATCAGCGGCAAAAACTTGGATTTAACCCTTTATCTTATCAAATATAAAGATTTTAACTCTTTACTTTATATTATAATATTTTTAATAATTTATTTTA